ACACACACACACACACACTATATATATATATAATATATATATATATATATATATACATATATATTTATATATATACATATATATATACATATATATACACACACACACACATATATATACATACATATATATACGTTATGATAATGATGCCAACTGCTAACGATAATCCTAGTATCGTACGTCTTTCCGTACAGGAGCTGTAGACAGATCGCAATTGTCGCTAAGCAAGGTTAGTTATTGGCGATAAGAGATACCCGCATTATAAGGGAATACATTTATTTCTTGAAGCCATCTATATAATCTGGTACACGTATTGGACGCGTAAGAGCTCCAGAGACTTCCCAACGACAGCACCTACTGCTGAATACAAGAAGGCAGCATGCGTGAAGTACTTGAAAGAATCAAACGGAAATCTCAGAAGTTTTCAGAAATCAGACTGAGATGCGTTAAACCGAAGATTTCGAGTCGCCCACACGGAGAAGATGGGTTGTACTCGATGGCGAAACATAGTCGTACCCTTTCTTTTGTACTTGTATCAAACTCGAATAAAGAAATATCTGTTGTTCTTCGTAACTAACTAAGTCAATATAGTGGTAAACTGGCGTTATTTAATAGTGGTGAACTGGTCTTATCTATGTAATTGCACAGCCTTTGTTTGATTTAGTAGGCTATGGTAATTGCCATATTGGAAATGGGCTTAATTGCCGAAATTGGCTGCGACAAAATGAGACCGTTTGACATCCAATTTCATAGCCTTCGTTTAATTTTTAGAAGGCAATGCCAATTTCCCACCAGTTGTTTTAAAATTTATTTTTAGGGACAAAATGCCGGTATTTGGGGGTTTGTCCCCCAATACCCCACTCGAAACGACTAGAAAGGGGAAAAGAAGTACATACCTAAAGATTTTATTGTCCTCAAGAGGGTAGAGAATTTACATATATTTTAAGATATCTTCACATATCATCGTCATTGTGAGATATCATCTACATTATAATACCCATTACGATACACGTTCATTAGCCATGTCAGACCAGGATACCGATATGGATATACAGGAGCAAAAGAGTGCACCCTTCCCAGTTGACCTCGAAATTAATGCTGACGGGGTGAAGAAACCAAAATTCCCAATACAAACCGGAAGGAAGAAGCTCACGCACACACTCTCCCACAATAAACTTGAGGAAGACTATAACAACGGACCTCTATTTAAAGCCGTCAATGAAAGTACGTAAAGTTGAAGCACACAGGCACATACATAATCTACAGAATATTTAGCAACACAACACTTTATACAAGCATCAAATAT